GCATCGTTAGCACTGGCATTGTTACCACCGACATTGTTAGGACTGGCATTGTCAGTTCCTTTCAAATGAACCCACTTGCCTAACCCTTCCAAATCCATGATCTCAAATTTCAAAGGGAAAGCTGCCAAGAAAGATATTAAGGCTTCTTCCTCACATAAGGGATAGATTACATCCTTTGCATTGAGAAGAGATTCAAATGGGATTGTCCCTCCTTCATTCTTAAGTTTCCCTGAGATTCTCAACGTAATATTATCTGCCATTTTCAAAAGATCAACTGGATCAGTCTCATCTTTTGCTTTCTGAGGCGTTGCCTTGCCACGACTCTCCCTTTTTTCGCTCGTAAATACTGGAGCAGGTAGCAATGAACGAACGTGTGGCAATGGCGGCCCAGGTTTCTTTAAATGTCTCGCCTTAGCCAACACTTCAACTGAAAGCCCACCACTAGCATCTTTTACATCTTTAAACCACTTTTCATGCTCTGCCAACCACTTTCTGATATGTTTCTTATCTCGTAACTTCTCGGGAAATATCTGAGCTTTATTCTTACAAATAATCGCAAACAAATGGCCATTTTCCTCTCTATTATCGACAGATTCAATCAATTTTTGTGCAATTTTAAAGTCTTCCTCTCTAGTTGTGGTTGGCAAAACATAGTTAGACGCTTCTACTTTTAATTTTATCTTACCGAAAGGATTCCCAGTTTCAGCTTTGATAATTTCAAAGCGTTCAGGATGCTCTTTAAGCCATGCTTTGACTTTCGTCTTGGACAAATCGACTGGGTAGAACTCCTTTGTCCCTTCCCAAAACGTCTGAAAAATTGCTTCGTTATCCTTTTGTTTTTTCAAAAACTTGCAAACTTTCTTCAGAACGCCTTCGTCCATCTTTATAGAAGGTAAATGGTGCAAAAATGTGTTTTAATTCGGAATTAAAGTGCAGCCATAATGCAGTGCTCTCACAATCAAATTTTCGAATTCCTTAGAAAAAGCTCGAAAATTCCTCAGATTTCCTTAAAATTCCTTAAATTGGTAAAATTACCACAAGGCCTGATCACACTGTTGCAAAAAGTGGGTTTTTTCCTCTTTTTTTCTGTTTATCAGTTTTTTAACCATGTTTCTAAGCACTAAAAACTGAAACCATTTGATTGTTAGCACAATGCCATAAAGAAAACATTCAACATGATGCTATTTTTTATCGTTGCTGCATGAAGAGCTTAAAAATCTGTAGATTTCAGAAGAAACAGCATATACTGACATTTAACTTTTGAGAATTTTAATGAAAAGACAGCCATATGTACATTTATGACATAGAGAACATACGAATATATGTGATTATGTGCGTATGATGTTGCTACTTTCAAGTTTAAATCTCATTTGCGTGGCGTGGTCACAGAATAGGAAGTTATACCAGAAGCGTAACTCGAGCAAATATTTGTCCGCGTTTTTACAAGCAATTCGTCATCAATCACGCCATCCTGGCTAGTACAACCGGCACTTTGTACCTACCAAATCCTGATAAAAACTTCCGGCTGTACTAGCCAGGATGGCGTGGCCTGACGTGAGCGAGTTAAAATTTTCGTGGACGTCAAACAATAAGGGAAACGACTAGAGTTACGCTTCTGGTATAACTTCCTATTCTGTGGCGTGGTTATCCTCCGTCCAACGTTTTTAATAGTCCCCTGATAAAATGTTTCGGAAATTCCTTAAAAAAATCCTCAAAAACCTAAATTCCTTAAAAAAATCCTTAAAACTCTTCAAAATTCCTATTTTTAAGGATAATTTCTTAAAAGTGAGAGCACTGGCCATATGGCCCAAATTTTACTTTTGTTTACTGTTTCTTGGAAGAGAAACCAGTCAAGCTTCCGGGGGTTTCAGTCGGTCAAAAAAACCGCGCACCTCGCGCGAGGAACGCGTCAACATTAGAGACCTTAAGATTGACGTTTACGGCAAACGTCAAACCGCTAGCACAGTTTTTGATTTTACAACTCTATTATTATAGCTTTTACACCAGTTTTTAAATATGTTAGACTTATGAAACTTGTGCTCTTTAGCAATGATTTAAGAAAGCAAATTAACCACAAATCATGCCATTCACCAAAGCAGTAAATTAAGATTTGGCGTTTGAAGTTGACGTTTGGCGTATAAATTTCATGCTTTAACGACTACAAGCCCTCGTAGCAGTTCAAGCATGAAATTTATACGCCAAACGCCAACTTCAAACGCCAAATCTTAGTTTACTGCTTTGGTGAATGGCATGACTATAGTGGTTAATTTGTTTTCTTAAATCATTGCGAAAGAGCACAAGTTTAATAAGTTTAACATATTTCAAAACTGGTGTAAAAGCTATTATAATAGAGTTGTAAAATCATAAACCTCGCTAGCGGTCCGACGTTTGCCGTAAACGTCAATCTTAAGGTCTCTAATATAGAATGATTAGCTTTATCTTTTCGAGCCAGGTTCAACATGGCAATATTTTCCTATACTTGTAAACGGATTTTGCACATAGAGGTATAAAAAGAATAAAAAATAGTCAGAATAAATAAAGGAAAAAAAATATTGTGAGTCTGCCACAAAACATGAGTTTAACTGGATTTGAACTCAAACGTTTATCTACACAGGCCAAATAATATACCACTAAGTTATCAGTGGACGACTTGTAATTCGGGTAAAATTAAAAACACAAGTACATTGTTGTGACCTGCTCATCTCATCAGGTGAATCTCTTTTCGGGCAAAATCAAAAAAAATTGTTATAGGCCGACTTACAAAAGTTATAAACGCATATTAATGCAGAAGTTTTGGCACAGGGGAATATTAATGCCCATTTTGATATAAGAAATGCTTAGCCGTGTTTTAATATATTTTCTACCACGCTTAGCCGTTCGCCGGCTTCGTGATCGAGTAAACTAAAACCAGAAGTTACTATCCCAAGACAAATGATGCCTGTACAAACCAAAGTCTGACTTAGAAAATTTCGGGGTATTCGATCTAGATGGACTTAGAAAGTTAGAAAGGTTCAAAACGCATATTAATGCAGAAAGTTTTGGCACAGGGGAATTTTATTGCCCATTTTGATACAAGAAATGCTTAGCCGTGCTTAGCCTTGTTTTAATATACTTTCTACTACGCTTAGCCGTTCGCCGGCTTCGTGATCGAGTCAAATTATGAGTATTCAACTGTTTGGAGGAGCGATTTAGAGACTTTTTTCGAAAAATAATGGCAAAAAGAAATAAAGAAAAAATTATACGAAACGTTACGAGAGTTTTACCTGGAAACGGTCCACAACTTTCGGTCATGATGTCCTCAGTCTTTACCACTATACCATGATGGCAACGATGGAAACAGCTAACCTATTGCAATAGTTCAATATTCTCTGTTTTCAGTTCTACTTGATGTATGTAGATTTTTTGCATTTCACCCTGGACAAGAATTCTCTTCAGAGTTGTTCATCCTTGTTCATCCCTCGTCATCCTTGGTTAAATCGACTCAAAATTGTCCTAATATACAAAAAAATATCTAAAAATGAATATTCAGCTGTCAGGAGGTGCGATTTAGAGACTTTTTCGAAAAATAATGGTAAAAGGAAATAAAGAAAAAATTATACGAAACGTTACGAGAGTTTTACCTGCATGGAAACGGTCCATAACTTTTTCTCATGAAGGCCTCAGTCTTTACCACTATACCATGATGGCAACGATGGAAACAGCTAACATATTGCAATAGTTCAATATTCTCAGTTTTCAGTTCTACTTGATGTATGTAGATTTTTTGCATTTCACCCTGGACAAGAATTCTCTTCAGAGTTGTTCATCCTTGTTCGTCTCTCGTCATCCTTGATTAAATCGACTCAAAATTGTCCTAATATACAAAAAAATATCTAAAAATGAATATTCAGCTGTTAGGAGGTGTGATTTAGAGATTTTTTTGGAAAAATAATGGCAAAAAGAAATAAAGAAAAAATTATACGAAACGTTACGAGAGTTTTACCTGGAAACGGTCCACAACTTTTGCTCATGATAGCCTCAGTCTTTACCACTATACCATGATGGCAACGATGGAAACAGCTAACATATTGCAATAGTTCAATATTCTCTGTTTTCAGTTCTACTTGATGTATGTAGATTTTTTGCATTTCACCCTGGACAAGAATTCTCTTCAGAGTTGTTCATCCTTGTTCATCCCTCGTCATCCTTGGTTAAATCGACTCAAAATTGTCCTAATATACAAAAAAATATCTAAAAATGAATATTCAGCTGTTAGGAGGTGCGATTTATAAACTTTTTTCGAAAAATAATGGCAAAAAGAAATAAAGAAAAAATTATACGAAACGTTACGAGAGTTTTACCTGGAAACGGTCCACAACTTTTGCTCATGATAGCCTCAGTCTTTACCACTAAACCATGATGGCAACGATGGAAACAGCTAACATATTGCAATAGTTCAATATTCTCAGTTTTCAGTTCTACTTGATGTATGTAGATTTTTTGCATTTCACCCTGGACAAGAATTCTCTTCAGAGTTGTTCATCCTTGTTCATCTCTCGTCATCCTTGGTTAAATCGACTCAAAATTGTCCTAATATACAAAAAATATCTAAAAATGAATATTCAGCTGTTAGGAGGTCCGATTTAGAGACTTTTTTGGAAAAATAATGGCAAAAAGAAATAAAGATAAAACTATACGAAACGTTACGAGAGTTTTACCTGGAAACGGTCCACAACTTTTGCTCATGATGGCCTCAGTCTTTACCACTATACCATGATGGCAACGATGGAAACAGCTAACATATTGCAATAGTTCAATATTCTCAGTTTTCAGTTCTACTTGATGTATGTAGATTTTTTGCATTTCACCCTGGACAAGAATTCTCTTCAGAGTTGTTCATCCTTGTTCATCTCTCGTCATCCTTGGTTAAATCGACTCAAAATTGTTCTAATATACAAAAAATATCTAAAAATGAATATTCAGCTGTCAGGAGGTGCGATTTAGAGACTTTTTCGGAAAAATAATGGCAAAATTAAAAGAAATAAAGAAAAAATTATACGAAACGATACGAGAGTTTTACCTGGAAACGGCTACAACTTTTGCTCATGATGACCTCAGGCTTTACCACTATACCATGATGGCAACGAAGGAAACAGCTAACATATTACTATACTTCAATATTCTCTGTTTTGCGTTGCACTAGCTGTATGTAGATTTTTTCGATTTCACCCTAGAGAAGAATTCTCTTCAGCGCTCTACATCCTTGTTCGTCTCTCGTCATCCTTGGTTAAATCGACTCAAAATTTTCCTAATATACAAAAAAATATGAAAAAATGAATATTCAGCTGTTAGGAGGTGCGATATAGAGCCTTTTTTTGAAAAATAATGGCAAAAAGAAATAAAGAAAATTGTACGAAATGTTACGAAAGTTTTACCTGGAAACGATCCACAACTTTCGCTCATGATGGCCTCAGTCTTTACCACTATACCATGATGGCAACGATGGAAACTGCTAACATATTGCAATAGTTCAATATTCTTTGTTTTCAGTTCTACTTGATGTATGTAGATTTTTTGCATTTCACCCTGGACAAGAATTCTCTTCAGAGTTGTTCATCCTTGTTCATCTCTCGTCATCCTTGGTTAAATCGACTCAAAATAGTCCTAATATACAAAAAAATATCTAAAAATGAATATTCAGCTGTTAGGAGGTGCGATTTAGAGGCTTTTTTGGAAAAATAATGGCAAAAAGAAATAAAGAAAAATTATACGAAAAGTTACGAGAGTTTTACCTAGAAACGGGCCACAACTTTCGCTCATGATGGCCTCAGTCTTTACCACTATACCATGATGGCAACGATGGAAACAGCTAACACATTGCAATAGTTCAATATTCTCTGTTTTCGAGTTCTACTTGATGTATGTAGATTTTTTGCATTTCACCCTGGATAAGAATTGTCTTCAGCGTTGTTCATCCTTGTTCATCTCTCGTCATCCTTGGTTAAATCGACTCAAAATTCTCCTAATATACAGAAAAATATCTAAAAATGAATATTCAGCTGTTAGGAGGTGCGATTTGGGTTTTTTTTTGAAAAATAATGGCAAAAAGAAATAAAGAAAAATTATACGAAACGTTACGAGAGTTTTACCTGGAAACGGTCCACAACTTTCGCTCATGATGGCCTCAGTCTTTACCACTATACCATGATGGCAACGATGGAAACAGCTAACATATTGCAATAGTTCAATATTCTCTGTTTTCAGTTCTACTTGATGTATGTAGATTTTTTGCATTTCACCCTGGACAAGAATTCTCTTCAGAGTTGTTCATCCTTGTTCATCTCTCGTCATCCTTGGTTAAATCGACTCAAAATTGTCCTAATATACAAAAAAATATCTAAAAATGAATATTCAGCTGTTAGGAGGTGCGATTTAGAGACTTTTTTGGAAAAATAATGGAAAAAAGAAATAAAGACAAAAATTATACGAAAAGTTACGAGAGTTTTACCTGGGAACGGTCCACAACTTCCGCTCATGATAGCCTCAGCCTTTACCACTATACCATGATGGCAACGATGGAAACAGCTAACATATTGCAATAGTTCAATATTCTCTGTTTTCAGTTCTACTTGATGTATGTAGATTTTTTGCATTTCACCCTGGACAAGAATTCTCTTCAGAGTTGTTCATCCTTGTTCATCTCTCGTCATCCTTGGATAAATCGACTCAAAATTTTCCTAATATACAAAAAAATATCTAAAAATGAATATTCAGCTGTTAGGAGGTGTGATTTAGAGATTTTTTTGGAAAAATAATGGCAAAAAGAAATAAAGAAAAAATTATACGAAACGTTACGAGAGTTTTACCTGGAAACGGTCCACAACTTTTGCTCATGATAGCCTCAGTCTTTACCACTATACCATGATGGCAACGATGGAAACAGCTAACATATTGCAATAGTTCAATATTCTCTGTTTTCACTTCTACTTGATGTATGTAGATTTTTTGCATTTCACCCTGGACAAGAATTCTCTTCAGAGTTGTTCATCCTTGTTCATCTCTCGTCATCCTTGGATAAATCGACTCAAAATTTTCCTAATATACAAAAAAATATCTAAAAATGAATATTCAGCTGTTAGGAGGTGCGATTTAGAGACTTTTTTGGAAAAATAATGGCAAAAAGAAATAAAGAAAAAATTATACGAAACGTTACGAGAGTTTTACCTGGAAACGGTGGACAACTTTCGCTCATGATGGCCTCAGTCTTTACCACTATACCATGATGGCAACGATGGAAACAGCTAACACATTGCAATAGTTCAATATTCTCTGTTTTCAGTTCTACTTGATGTATGTAGATTTTTTGCATTTCACCCTGGACAAGAATTCTCTTCAGAGTTGTTCATCCTTGTTCATCTCTCGTCATCCTTGGTTAAATCGACTCAAAATTGTCCTAATATACAAAAAAATATCTAAAAATGAATATTCAGCTGTTAGGAGGTGCGATTTGGAGACTTTTTGGAAAAATAATGGCAAAAAGAAATAAAGACAAAAATTATACGAAAAGTTACGAGAGTTTTACCTGGGAACGGTCCACAACTTCCGCTCATGATAGCCTCAGCCTTTACCACTATACCATGATGGCAACAATGTAAACAGCTAACATATTATTATACTTCAATATTCGCTGTTGTACTAGCTGTATGTAGATTTTTTCGATTTCACCCTAGAGAAGAATTCTCTGCAGCGCTCTACATCCTTGTTCATCCCTCGTCAGCCGTAGTTAAATCGACTCAAAATTGTCCTAATATACAAAAAATTATCAAGGTATGAATATTCAGCTGTTAGGAAGTGCGGTTTAGAGACTTTTTTTGAAAAATAATGGCAAAAAGAAATAAAGGAAAAATTATACGAAAAATTACGAGAGCTTTACCTGGGAACGGTCGACAACTTTCGCTCATGATGGCCTCAGTCTTTACCACTATAACACGATGGCAACGATGTGAACAGCTAACATATTACAATTCTTCAATATTCTTTGTTTTGCGTTGTACTAGCTGTATGTAGATTTTTTAAATTTCACCCTACAGAAGAATTCTCTTCAGCGCTCTACATCTTTGTTTATCCCTCGTCATCCTTGGTTAAATCGACTCAAAATTGTCCTAATATACAAAAAAGTATCAAGATATGAATATTCAGCTGTTAGGAGGAGCGATTTAGAGACTTTTTTGGAAAAATAATGGCAAAAAGAAATAAAGAAAAAATTATACGAAAAATTACGCGAGTTTTACCTGGGAACGGTCCACAACTTTCGCTATGATGGCCCCAGTCTTTACCACTATACCATGATGGCAACGATGTGAACAGCTAACATATTACAATTCTTCAATATTCTCTGTTTTGCGTTGTACTAGCTGTATGTAGATTTTTTCGATTTCACCCTACAGAAGAATTCTCTTCAGCGCTCTACATCCTTGTTCATCCCTCGTCATCCTCGGTTAAATCGACTCAAAATTGTCCTAATATACAAAATATTATCTAAAAATGAATATTCAGCTGTTAGGAGGTGCGATTTGGAGATTTTTTGGAAAAATAATGGCAAAAAAAAATAAAGAAAAAAATTATACGAAAAGTACGAGAGTTTTACCTGGGAACGGTCCACAACTTTCGCTCATGATGGCCTCAGTCTTCACCACTATACCACGATGGCAACGATGTAATCAGTTAACATATTACAATTCTTCAATATTCTCTGTTTTGCGTTGTACTAGCTGTATGTAGATTTTTTCGATTTCACCCTACAGAAGAATTCTCTTCAGCGCTCTACATCCTTGTTCATCCCTCGTCATCCTTGGTTAAATCGACTCAAAATTGTCCTAATATACAAAAATTATCAAAATATGAATATTCAGCTGCAAGCGTTTCACAACTTTCACTCATGAGGGCCTCAGTCTTTACCACTATATACCATGATGTCAACGATGGAAGTAGGAGTACATTAGTACACCAACACAGAAAAATCATGATTACTAGATTGCATTGATATCGAAGGAACTAGATTCAGTTCCGAAATATCACATCCTCGAACCGACGTGACCGCGTAGCTCCGTTGGCAGAGCATTGGGCTAGTATTCCAAAGATCATAGGTTCGATTCCCGCCGTATTTTTCAAGCTTGCCCGGTGTGGATCATATGTATGGTGTGGATATACACTCAGAGAGTGTATTTTACCTCTTTAAACAGGGTAATTTAACAAGGGCCCCCAGCAAGAAAAGCAGTGCATGTTTACGCAATATATATTAAATTAAATTAAAGCAACATTGAACATTCAAAGCAAACTTGCCCTATATTTCACGATTTCCCCTATATATTTCACGATTTCCCACAGGCTTATTCTATTTCAAAGATAAAAACAAATTATGGAAAATTTAATATACGCTTTTCGGGCGTAAAGGTATGGAATGAAATTGTCATTCTCAATAATTCAGGGGGCGTAGGAGGCTTCTAAAAGTTGGGCAGGCCTCGAGGGACACTGTTTCGAGTAAGGGCATTTAAATTTTTTTCCCTGAAAATGTTGGCGACGGGGGGAGGTCAAAAGTTTTCCGGATAAATGATATTTTTCCCGGAAATGGAAAACATTTTCCGGAAATAATATAAAATAAAGTTTCCAAAAGTGCCGTTTGGGCAAAAAATGCAATCTTAATGACATTTTTCACGCAAGAAAAGGGCACTTTGCTCCCGGAAAAAGGGCACTTGGCAAAACTCGGGGGCTGCCCCCCCCTGTTCCTACGCCCTGAGAGATCTCCGAGAAAAATTATGCGAACATTTCTTTGAGAAGAATATTGACAATGAAAATCTCAAAGATCTTTTACCACAAACAATTTTATCTGGATATGATCTAAGACCGATATGTAAATATCATAATTATGTTTGTAGAACTGATCATGAACGTTTTAAGAATGCGTTTTTACCTCAAAGTATATTAAAGATTAACAATAAATAAGTTTTTAGAAATGTAAATAATCTTAAATATGTAATTATTATGTAATTTTAACTTCTCTTAATTTATGTAATACTGGTGTAATTTAACCTTTTTGGGTTACAAAGTCAGTAATCATTAAATCAATTCAATTCAAATTTTAAATAGCCAGCGGAATTAGCACCCTCGTCCCGGGCTGACGCCCGGAACGGCGCGCCGTTGGCTCAGAGATAGAATTTCTGTTTAATACCAGAACTAAACTAAAACTGAAAAAATCTTTGTTCAAACTAGAACTAAACTAAAACTAAACTAAAACTATAAACATAAATTACTGAATTAAACTAGAACTGAACTAAAACTAAATTGAAAACACCATACTAAAACAACACTATATACTCATACGGGAATTCACGATAAAAAACATATGTTCCGAATTAATTCACGTAGTTTAGACGTCAAACTTTTCATGTGGCGAACCTGATGCGAATGAATAAACAGCTGGCACAGGCGGGAAGTGCCACGTTTGAACTAGGGAGAACGAAAATGTTTGGTTTTGGAAAAAGTTTTGTTATATTTATTACACATTGAAATATTGTAAATATCTTATAATAGTTTCCTTATTAACCGTTTATAATTATATTGAATGTCTTTCTCCATCGGAAGTTGGATATTTGCTTGAATTGTATTTCTGAAACAAAAACACGAGTTTAATACACATAACTGAACAAATACATCCATGTTAATGGCAATCAATTATACCGTTCTGACATCTGAGTCCTGAATGAAAGACGCGGAAAATATTTTCTCACACACTGGTGGAGGGAGAAATAGCTAGCCTGTTACCGGGAGGGGCAGATTATAGATGAGCACATTTTTGTTGTTGCTCACCATGCGTAGCTTAACATACAGTTTAGACGTCTACGCTACTTTCATCCTCGTGTCTTAATTCCACTTCAGGTTTTCCTTCCTTGCTTCATCCAAGAAAGTGCATGGGTCACGTTTCTACCGAGATTAAATCTCAGTCTTTGTTTTATGGATATCTTTAAGCCACGCACTGAAATTCGAGCACCGCCACGCACTAACCATCCCCGTTTTCGATAAGTACTTACAGATCCAACAAAGGCAAGCAGAAAACAACAGTTTAACACACATTATATCAAGGACAATAAGTTGATGCTAAAAAAGCTACATAATCTTTAATGCACTTGCAGATTACCTTATTTCATGTATTCATATTTCCAGTCTGACACAGGTAATTGGTTTTCCTTGATCGACAATGGTGACATCCAAGGTAATATATTTAGATAACACCCTGGTTTGTCATTGGTACCTACACGATAAAAGTATGTATTAAACAATGTCGTTGTACACATTTAAAAATGAGCAAGAGCCACAAACCTGACATCCTGCTCCCACCAAAAGGCTGTTGTGCAACAACTGACCCAGTTGCTTTGTCATTAATGTAAAAGTTGCCAGCGGCTTGCTTCAAAATGTTTCGAGCTTCAGCTATTACTTTGCTATATAACATTACCCAAATATCACCGTTTAGTTTGCTTAAAGTACGTTACACACAACGATTAATCGGGCCGATTCAGCTTTAATTAAATGATATTTGAAAAATACGCTGTCAACGTCATCTGACAACATCGTTAACTGATAACATTTGTCACTAACATTCGGCAAAACCTGATATCGGCCCGATTAATCATTGTGTGTAAACGTAGCATTAGGGTTGGAAGATTGCATCAGTATTTATACATGACGAACTTCCAGTGGCGCCTAAATTATTTTGAATTTGTACTCGAGTAAAAGTAGAAGTAATTAACAATAAAACGACTTGATTAAGAGTAAAAAGTACTGGAGGCAAAACGTACTTAAGTAAAAAGTACAAAGTATCCTTAAAAAATACTTGAAGTAAAAAAGGTAAAAGTATTATGGTCTGTGGCGTGTATGAGGGGAGGGGGGGTACTTCTCCAATGGATTGACATACAAAAGACAAAAACAGTAGACGCATTATACGCGTGCACCTAATATATATACAATATTTCACGGCATGGTCTACTTTCCAGACCCCGTTGAGGATATAAGAAATCCATTAAATAAATAATGCTTATAATGAAGCCACGAACGGGAGATCCCATACGCATGTGGAGCTCCTATTAGCTATCCCAAAATTGAAATAAATCAGAAATAAATCACGTAAAATTAAAACAAAAGTTAGAAAGTAACGAAATACTTGCAACAAAATGAAAATAACGAAGTAAAACGTTACGTCTTAAAATGACGTCGTTCCAAGTAAAATTACCCCACAAAAAGTTTACTTTGCCACATGCTGACTTCTCAAAAATAGTACTCAAGTACAGTAACGAAGTACATTTACTTCGTTACTTGACACCACTGCGAACTTCTCAGGCGAAATCAAGTCAATGATTAATAATCAAAGTTTGAAAATACAAATATAGAATAGCTTAAAATTTGTAAGAGTGGATAACTTGTACCAAAACCCTCACACTCGTAAATGAAGTTTGTTGGTTTTACAACAGTAATTGTAATGCTATAATCACGAAGGCCAAATTGAGTGTTGAATTTGCTGTTAAATCCTGGCATGTCTAAATATTACACGTCTTACTTATCTTTACTGAATACTGCACCAGTTAAACCAAAACCCGAAGTTTCATCCACCTAACAGAAAATAAATAGAACTCATGCTATATCTTAAACGGAAAATACTGCATAATAAATTCAACTAAATTGTCACTCGAATATAAACTTTAGTAGTATAGCTAGTACGTACATGCAAGTTATAGTTGCATAATCAGAGAAACATACTTACCAATTTTAAAGTTTCTTTATATTCTTTGGCAGGATATACAAAGATTGGAAGGACTGGTCCAAAGACTTCCTGAATATAGAGTTTTGAAAATGTAATTTTGGAGCAATAACAACAAAGTAACAAAAAAATCAATTACTTTACCTCCTCCATCAACTTGTTGCGAGGATCTCTTGTTTCAGCAATTGTTGGTTCAATGTAATATCCAACACTACAAAAAATAGCAGTGTTACTAGTTGATAAGTGGCGATATGAAGGTGACCGATGTCAAATAATCTCGATGTAAAATAATCTCGATATATCGCAACTGCCAGTGATTGGCGTACAGCACACAAAGTACAAAATAGACCTAGACTATTTCATATCGCCGAGAACGACCTGATGACGACAACCACGTGTGATCAAGCAAACACAAATTATTGTTCAACCTTTTGTCGCAGTTCCCACCAGCAAGTATTGTGACGTCATCACTCTCTTTTGCATAATCTATAAACTCTTTAATCGATTCGAATGCCTGCAAAAATAAACACAGAACTTCCACATATTATGCAATAAGAACCGAAAATCAGAGAAAATGTATAAACTACAATACCTTTTCGTCGATAACAGCTGATAAAAAGTTTGAGAACTCGGAAGGCTATATAGAAAATGCAACAATAACAACACGTTGGATTTGAAAATAGTGTACCGTGGAACATCTACACTACATTTCAAGGATGTTGTCTTTTTACCTGATGCAGGACCAATATTTATTATTAAATTATCCTCCTGAATATAACGTTTTATATCAAATTATCCTCCGACATAAAACGTTTTACCTCACCCATCTTTATTTCTTTATGGGCTTCCAGCAACTTTTCTTTGATCTGAAACAAAAGATTTGTTTTTAAGATGGTATGAATACATCACTTGTGTTACCTTGCAAGCAAGGCTAACAAAATATTGCCATATAGTATGTCCCATGCTTCATTACACTGTATAAACATACCTGTGGCCAAAGTGTATCAGGAACATACATTCTTCCCACAGCCGAACACTTCTGACCACAATATTCAAACGCTGCTCTCATTGTACAATTTACAACCAAATCTATAAGATTTTATTATGAAATTGTGGAGGTCTGTGCATGCCGCGTTGATCACAGCGCTGCCATATAAACCTTTTTGACAGCCAGTCAATCTTTTAAAAAATTTGGGTTGAGGCTGCACTCAATCTGAACAGAACACAGATGTAATTCTCGTTTTGAGTGAAGGTCTTATCTTTCCCGAGGAAGTCGAAGGATCTTTGGCTGTCGAGAAATTCTTAACAAAGTTTTATATTCATGTTGGTGGTGTTACAGACTCCACATCCACACCGGGCAAGTTGACAAGTTTGACCAATCGAACCCGCAACCTTTGGGATACTAGTCCAATGCTCTACAAACTACTGAGCTACGAGGTAAGTCGGTTGGAGACTTCGTGTTGGTGATATTTCGTCTATATACTTCCTTCGATATCAATATATTCCAAGATATGATACTTTTTGTGTGTGTTGATGTTATGTACTCAAGTGAATATGATGTTGGTGTGTTACTATAAATGTGCCTCCACACCGGGCAAAATTTACCCGGTGTGGATGCACACTCAACACAACAAACATACACAAAAAGTTTTATATTCATATTGACCCAGCGTTATTTTAATACGATCGCGGTGGTTACGCCAAGAAAAATAATAAGTTGGTTAGCTCAAGTTAATACAGTCCAGGAACAATCATCTTACCTATATCTGCCGTCTCGTGCACAAAGTGGAAATTTTTTCCTCCACACTCTGTACGTAGAAAAAGAAGATAATTAAACCTGTACAAACACAACAATCATGCATGCGGCCGTGCGCAATGTAAGCTTTTTGATCTAATTTGATGAATGTTATAAGTGCGATCTTATAAGTGATATATTTGATCGATTACCGAATCAAACTACTTGAAAAATATCAGGGTGGTAGCTAAAGTTGATATCGTAAGTGTAAATGGTCACAAGTTGCATGGGAAATGAGATGCATTTCTTGTCTTTAACGGTGATTAGTATTACGGAAAAGTTATTTATGTAAAATGAAAACTGCATCAACGGGCAAATAACTCACCTCCAGAAAGTCGTGGAAATGTTCTATAAAATTAGAAAAGTTTATAGAAAAGTTTCAGGCATACAACTGTTTGGTAGTAAAGTCAAATACAGTAAACAGACATAGGAAACTTGAGAAACTCACAACACAATCTCTTTTTAGGTTTAATGAAAATATTGTCATCGCGCCAATGACGTGTATTGTGTTTTCACAAAGTCAACCCAAAGCAATGTTTTGCATGTAATTCATCACAGGCGTTTGGTAATTAAACCTTGCTGATGGTTGATTACAACACAATACCCAGATGGAGAAAACAGAGACAAAAAACATTGCTCGAGTTTCCAAATCATTCCAAGTTTCCAAGTCATAGCTCCAGCTAATCTGGAAGACAAGATTTGCTGTTTTCTAAACTTACTTAAATATATCAATGTTATTTCCAATTTGTTTCCACAAACTCTTGAAGGTTCTGAAAGTAATTAATATCATTAATCATTATTTTTCCCTAATATAAATGAATATTTTTCAACAACAAAAACAGCTAGTTACTGTACTTACGGTCCACTTCCAACAAATGTTAAACCTGCTAAATCAGGAGATGACGTCACTGTTTTCCCAAACATCGCGCCAGGTGATGGAAGAAAGTTGATCACACCTTAAGAAAAATAACAATCATTGTTACATGATTTCCCAATCTACATTCCGTAGTGACGTAAAAGTAAATGTCTCGCGGTGTTCCTTACAGTAATACAAAAGAAATGTGGTTGGCCAGTATCAGTTGGTTATTGAAAGTGAACTTGGTAATATCGCAAAAATCATGTTGATAACAAATTCATTAAAACAGCAAAAAACTTCTTTGCTTAAAGTAATAAGATAATAACGCATAACAGATGAATACATTTGTTAGATTTGTGGTAAATAAAACCCTGATAAAAACTTGCACAAGTGTTTGCTGAATGTTTGTCCATCTTTTGTTCAGGGGCGGTTTTCACGCGTACGTCACAAACATCAAAGAGCTTAAGCAAGTCCCGTCAATAACAGCCCGATTGCTGGTGTAGGAATAGTGAACCATGAGAATAAATAGCAAATTTTAAAATTTAAATGTAACAAATGTAAGTTTCGACCCCTTCCTACAGTACGTCAATCTCTTTCCCATTTATTCAGTACCTTGGGGTACACCAGCTTCCACTAATATTTGATAAAACATCCATGATGCTCTTGTTGTGGTCAGAGCTGGTTTCCAAAGGACTACATTGCCAAGTATTGCAGGACCTGTTGCCAGGTTACCACCAATAGCAGTGAAGTTGAATGGACTAATTGCTACAATAAATCCCTTTGAAAAGTTAACCAAGCAGAATTAGAATTTTCTTCATAAGAACTCTAAATATGACCTGGAGTGTTATATAAGTTTTTGAAAACAACTTTACCTCTAAACCTCTGGGCATAATACTGTTTCTAACTCCTTCTGTTTGAATAATTTCAATTTGGTCCAAAATTCCCTAATACAAAATACAATGTATGAGACTGTATTACTGTAAGTGTCCAATGTTAGCTTAATAGCCTGAGTGACTGAGGCCTATCTAGCTCATCTCTTAAAAGCGCTGGAAGTTTTGAAGAATATTGTACAGGGGCAGATGGAGAGCTAAATAAAACCTGACTGGCATATTTCAGTCATATTTCAGTCATATTTCAGTATGGAGCATGATTACTGTACCTTGGCAAAATGGGAGTTGAACCTTAAAAAATCAGCCAACTCTCCAACACAGTCAATATCTGCCTGAATTGCAACCTTGCTCTGAAAAACATAGAGTAGGTGGGTTTCACTCAAGTCTTGTACATTTAGGAAACACTCAGTGGTTTACACATATTGCCGCTTTAAGCAAGTACATTTCTTTAAATTGCGTATATTTGATACCAAACACAAGATCAGTATACTTATACTGTAATGAACAGTTAACTGACAATCCGATAAATGTGTTTCCATTGACCACCAAACATATCATGTGTCTGAAACCCAGCTATAAATACTTTATTGCAAGCTATGTCATAAATTTATACCATCCGAGACTTGAAAAATGCACACAGTGCTAGAAAATGTCAGGTAGCGCCAGCAGCACCGCTGCCAGGAAATTGTAACAGGAAATTTTTATCATTGAGTATACTGGAATGCCATATAATTTAATTATTACAAAAGGGTTTTTGTGTTGTGTCAAGTTTGATATTTATCACACTGTGTTGGTACCATACATTCCCTGGAATCTACAGTACATATATGGAGGACATTTTATATTTGAGACAGGAATTTTTTGTTTTTGGATTTTGCTACCAGGAAGAGAATATATTATTTTCTATGCCTGAATGCACATCTCAAGACATCTCAAACCTGTCCTGCCATTGTTGCAGCCAAAGAAGATAATCGATATTTTGTTGTCAATAAATCTGCAACTCTTGTAAAAATCTTTGACCTTTTAAGATAGAAGTTGTATATTTATAAAAATAAACATCACTAATTTTCCAATATATCTAAGAACAGATGATACATAGATAAGTTGGGAGGTAATAGTGCCCAACAGGCCAATACTGGCATTAGACAAAAGAAAAAACAGGGGGCATTAGGACCATTGCAGCTTAATGAGACATGGGGAGATCATCTTGTTAAATGCCAAATGAAATTCTTTAGCATTAAAAATTAAGATGTAATTAAAGTAATTTCATGTCACCTTTCATCCTGAGGCATATTTTCCCACTTGTCTCTGGCAGCCAAGGAAGTATTGATAGCTTTGTTAACAAGTGCCTAAAAGTAAAAGATATATCCACATGCTAATTGATCATGTGAGATCTTTTTCATTGAATTTTTAGGTTAACAAACCTCATCAGCAAAGTGAATTTTGGCAATCCTGTTCTGATGTCTGTATGGCTAAAATTAATTCAAAAAACATGCTGTCAGATAAAGTACAATTCACTATGATGTTACAAAATAACAGCAACTCTGAATAACATTTTAATTGTTAATCGACGTTCTGACTAGTTTGTAGTGATCCTATTAAGGATTAATAATCCTGAGGATGACTACAAACTAGTCGAAATGTCGATTAAAATGTTATTCCTGAGGACGACTACAAACTAGTTGAACAAGTTGAAATTCACAAAGATTTGACTATTGGCAAAAAGGAAACCATGCAATCAAATACTCTGATCGAGCAATATGATTGGAGCTTCCCTTTTTCTTATAGTCCAATCAGAGGCTTTGTTTACAAATCTTTTGTGAATTTCAGAGCAATCTCCCTGACAAAATTGCAATATTGTGGGGCAATATTGTGGGACAATATTGCTCGCAAGAGAACATCCGGTTTGACTGTAATACCGGTATAATATTTAAGACACATAGTGCAATTAACTAAAATTGTTACCCCATCCCATTCTCCTTAATGGAAACAGGCAGATATTATATTAAATATATTCTACCCTTCAATTTCCAGGTGATGCTTGTGGAGACCATGCAGGGTGGTACAGAAATGAATGTATAAACTTACAGTGACTTGATAAGCAGTATTTCCAGTATATATTTTCTCTCCACCAACAACACATGGTATCTCAATTTCTTCATTCTCAATTTTGTGAAGTTCTTTTAAGAGATTGGTTCTAATTTCTGAATTTGTGAAGTCAGTTGATGGTTCATTGACTGGCAATGATGAGGCATGGTGACATAATCTTGAAATCACTCTAACAAATATCAATTGTTGTTAATTCTTCAGTAATATTTTTGAATGGGGCAATTCCATTTAAAAGATGTACCCCTGTACATCTGATACACAATTTGCAGGACTATCTATCTATCTATCTATCTATCTATCTATCTATCTATCTATCTATCTATCTATCTATCTATCTATCTGCTATTTATCTTTACAACAATTGTGATTACTTTCTTAACTGTGTTTATCCTAACCAACTTTCCCTGTGGGAGAAAACCGGAGTGCATGGAAAAAACCCAGAACTTTTGGCAGAGCGTTGACTGACACATCTTTTCACATGAGGCCGTAGTGAGAATCCAACCCACAATCCTAGAGGTGAAGGCGCTTGCTCTAATGACTGTGCCACCAAAGTAGAGAGTCAACTGAACTAGTTAGGTGAATGTTAGGGTGTCTATTGCACTGAATGCTCTGACGACTGTGCCACCAAACTAGAGAATCAACTGAACTAGTTAGGTGAATGTTAGGGTGTCTCTTGCACTGAATGCTCTGATGATTTTACCACCGAACTGGCGAACTAGAGAGTCAACTGAACTGGTTAGGTGAATGTTAGGGTGTCTATTGCACTGAATGCTCTGATGACTGTGCCACCAAACTAGAGAATCAACTCAACTAGTTAGGTGAATGTTAGGGTGTCTATTGCACTGAATGCTCTGACGACTGTGCCACCAAACTAGAGAGTCAACTGAACTAGTTAGGTGAATGTTAGGGTGTTATGAGATTGCAAAACCAGATGCCAAGTTTATTTACATCAGCCACAACAGTTATTATAATTGCCTGAGATACAGAGTCGACTTTCTTTGATCATCCTTAGTCACAGTTTGTGACACTACTGTCAAAACCTGACAAATATGATGACAGATGCTTTTAAAACTAGAAATTTTCCTCTTTAAAGTTTAAGTGAAATTTGGATTTACTGCAGTTTGCGAAACGAAATCTGCCATTCGTGAAATCTAGTTATGGCCAGAATTAAACTGCAACAGATTAGGATTATAGTAAACCTCCCACGCAGCAAGATTTCGCGAACTGAAGATTTCATTCCGTTTCGCAACAGTTACATATAGCGTGACGTTTTTGTATTTTGGTCTTTTTTCACATAATGTTATCAGTGTAAATCACGCAGATACGCTACTACAGCTCTTGCGGATTAAACGCATGAAATTTATTTTCAAAATATATTTTATTCTTCATTAAATACAGTTGTCATCGATAGGAAGCTGTCAATATAGAGTCATGCTCAAACAAACTAAAGTTTTCTTACCTTGAACATTGAGAAACGGACAAACGTTTAGTTAATAGCATGCCGTTTTCCAAGATAATTACGTGCTAAAATTTTAACAAAAATATAGTTTTATACACGGTTTTATATATTACAAAACAAAATAAACATTGACGACGCCGTGTGGTATTCGGACAAGCACAGAATAAATTATATTCTCTGACACAACCACCAGTGGTTTCACACCTCCGCCACTCCCCCGGGGTTAGACGGGAACTGG